CTGTCAAGGTGGATGCCATAATCAAAAAGGTTGAATTATCAGAATTGGGCAGTCATGAGTTCTTCTTTTTGTTATGGAGCATTACAAGGTTATAAAGCGTTAAAATTCCATCAATGTAACGCTCGTCATCTCGATTGGTATGCCATCAAGTTAGCACCAACATTCCTCCTACAATACTACGTTATGTGCGCCTTACAAGAATTTGTATCCTACTCGAGCAACGAAAAATCACAAAAAAAAACGACATCGGCTTCGCCTCGGATCTTACAACCCAAGTCGGAATGTAGTATGAAATCCCGTTAATCCCTTGAACAAAATTTCAAGATCGGGTGGTGTCATTTACTACGGTTATCTTGGAATGAAACATGGTATACATTGCAGATTCAAGTTAATTGTTTGCTCCGAGGAAGACTACGAATAGCTATCGTAGTATCCTGCCCTCCGGGGTATCATAATATACAAAAACCATCGATTCCACCATTTAAGTGCAGAAAATGGTGCCAATACTGATTCCCTCGTAGGGACCGAGCTATACGAATCAGACACGTAAGCTACAATGGAATGCAGCAAACATAAGTGTTGATGGACTCACATGATCAAGTACGTTCCCATCGAAGATTGTCGGGACGGTCTTAATCTGACATTGTGCGTCCGTCGCGTCGTCTTCCCCTAAATTGATGATTAGATGTTACTTCGTACATGTGAACGTAGAGCTACTGACCAGAGCAAGAAATAGCATTTCCGGGTGACAAAATATGTACCTCCCCACTGGGATGTGCGAAGCCGAGGAAACGCCCAGGGACAATAGGAACAATATCTGTTAATGCAATCAGGAAATAACGACGATGACCAACGGCTCAAAGGGCCTACCTTTTTCGTTGTTGATACGTTTGAAGCCCGGAACCTGTTGCAGGAGGTTAGAATTGAATGGGGGAGACTTCTGAATAAACCATGTAGCTATATACCTTTGCGTCGATGAGAGACGCGAAAGCGGAGTTTCCGACGCGTGGGGTACCATAGGTCATAGCCTTGATCACCGTCCCAGATGGGAGGTTGAGTGCGAAGTATAGTGCATCAAGCTCGGCGAGGGCACCTCCGAGGGAATGACCGACCTATGAATCGAGATAGTACTTAAGCAAAACAAAAATCCTAAGATTATATAGAGGAACATACCACTGTGACGCGGTTGGTTCCCTTCGATGCAAAAAGGCGCTTTACTTCTGCGAGGATTTTTGTCGCAGTGAGAGCGTGTGCGTTGCGGAATCCGTCGTGTACGAGAACGCTGGAAGAGACACCAGGGAAGAGAGCCGTATCAAGGGGATCCGTGAGGATGTTCGCATCGGTCAGAACGGAGACACTTGGAACAATTTCGGATTAATGATATATTCAAGGTCTGGACTCTGGAGGTAACGACTTACAGTTGAGTGGGATCAGTGCCTTCATGTGCAACAACCACGGAATTTTGAGAGGGCCAGTATCCAACAAAGACTAATGAACGTCACGTTAGGGTTGAAATTAAGCATTGGGGCCAGATAGAAACAGTGGCTTACAAATTTGTACCGCGTTTCCGTCCCCACCGACGAGAGTGGGTTGGAACCCAGGAAGGGCATTACAGGCCTCTGATAATGGCGCACTTAATATCCAACCAATACTCGGGGTATGGTAGCATGCTTACCTCCACAAGTCCACCCAGTCAGTTTAGAAGTGGGACAGTATGCCGCGCGAGCAAATTGAGTATATGGAGCAAACCCAGAGAGGTCGCTGCTTGACAAAGGCGTGACCGAACGACGCGTCGGTGTCGCCAATACCCTACTCAATGAGCACAGTAAAGCCAAAGCAGAGATAGACCGCATCGTAAGTAGGAAATTGCGGGGATGAGAGCTTTCTCGCTTTCGTTGAACCAACACGACCTACGAGAAGCATTTTATACCTGTACGCGAGGCTCCTCCGATTTCACGAGCTAACATCGGTTTGCAAGAACATCATGGCCGTTGCGACGGGGAAGAGACCAGGGCTCAGAAGATGAGGAAAACCATACAGATTAAGTGTCAGGAGGTGTCGTGAATCCATATTTGTAGCATTGTCGTTCTGTCAAAAGCCATGTGGAATGCTATTATTAGTTGACGTTAGCGTATAATTATCAATCAAAGAAGCTGCGCAGGTAGATGGTGGGCCTATGAGCTCCTGATCGGGGTGATCGGGGCCAATTAGTTGTGGGGAAATTTGAACATTGCCAGATATTGCATGGTCAGCTGAGTTAAACCCACATTTCGAGAGCAAGGGCGGCAACCCGATTTCAGCTTCTTTCGTTCTGAAAGAATAGATCCAAAGCCGAGCGGGTATCCGATTAGTTTCAAATGTGTAGTAGGTTCATTACATTGGATAAACGAGTGTGGGCAAGTGTTGACATAAAGACAACCAGAAAGATTGTGGTGGTACTGCGTGGCATCGTTTTAGGTTTAAGGGTTCGCTTCCATTTCGTTCGACATGTGGCGGCGTTGATACGACTCATAGATACCAGTGATGTTAGGGGAGGTTTTGATATCGACTGACTCTCGAATGTTAAGGACAAGTCTGTTACGATGTATTTGAGTTCAAAAAAAACTACTCTGGGAATAATTGAACTGACCTTGAGCAGATTGTTGACTGTAAGGCCAGCAAGAGGCTGTGGGGGTGTAAAATGGTTACGACAGCCTAGACATGGGAATACAAATTACCGACTTTTGTCCAAGATCTCCAAGGCTAGCTTGTGAAACCCACCAAACTACCATATTGAACACGGTGATTGCTATTAGAATAATATAATTAAATGTAAACGTTAAATTCAAGAGTGGATACTCACAGATTATGACTGCCAAAATTTTATTCAATGTCAAACAGATCTATAAAACAAGAAGGGGCTTTACCGATGTAGTATATAATCCCTGAGAATATGGCAAGTTAACATTTTTTGTTGAGGAATTCATCGGATTACTGACCGTCACGATGAATGACTTGGGAGAGCGAAGAAGAGTGTCTCCATCCAGTAAGTCGACCTAATATTATATTCAAGTCTCGACAACAGGACTGGACGAGTCAAAGGGCGCACTCACATGTTTCAAAGGTCTTGTAGATCGTGAGTACGAAGATGACTTGAAAGAAGTTCAGAAGCAGATATTTGCAAGGCAACGTTTCTACTAAACCTGTTTCAAGAGCAGAGAAAGGGATGTAAAACCCCTTCATTAGAGGTCCGCAAGACGGGTCATTGCATACTGGAATGCATCCAGGGACAGGGATACTACCGGGAGGAGCGTCTGATAGGACCAAGTTCTTGATTCGGAAAAAAATCCCAGGAATAAAGAGCCTCGTACACGTCATAAACCCTTTGAGAGAGATGTGCATTAAGATGGCCACCATGGTCGCCGTTGAACTCTGCAAAGAGCTGTTGAATATAATGGAAATGAACAAGATCATAGTTTTTACGCACAAGCCACATTAGTAATAGTACAATCAGCAGATTTTTGTTGTTATATAACGCATGGGTTCGGACAAGAAGCATGGCTAAAAAAAAACACCAAGTCAGCCGACCGCGACATGAAAAATGTAGTCCTATGACCTTGAATTGTCCCAAAATTTAGGACACCACCAAGCCCTGTGACAAGGAAGCCCGCTTGGCAGCTTAAAGAAAATTAGCTGGCGAAGTAAAGTAAATAGATGTGCATACAACTAAGATCGAATTTCAGTATTTGTTGAGGATAGCAATATGGATGTGACATACCGTCATGGTAAAAGAGGGAGAAAACTGATCTGTTTCTAAAATAAAAGGCTGTATTGACTATTAGGACAAAGTAAACTTACAGATTATGTTAATGAGGGTGAGGACGATTGGTACATATCGGTTCTGAATAGGGCGGTCACGCGGTTAGATAGTACCAAAGGAGCTGAAGCACTAACAATTATGAAAAGGGTGCGGCCCAATGATCGTCTAGTCAACCAGACTCTCGATACCTATAATGCGTACACAATTAAAAAACCGAAAAATATGAGAGGGCAGCGACTTACTTGGTGATCCATTGTTAACAACGTGTCCCAAATTAGAAGAGCGAATGATGCCACTGCAAGGATTATCAGCTTCCGACCATGGAACCAATACAGAGTTGCATACAAGAGGAATACTAAAACAGTCAATAAAACAGATATCTTTGATTTTCAATATGGAACCCGAGCTTACCCGAGTGACGGTCAAATTGAATATACCTGTGCTTAGTTCATGGAGGGATTGACTGGTAGCCATCAGTGTCAATTAGGTAGTTATAAAGGATAAAATCAGAGCTTCTGAGGCCCTGGAGAAAGGAGTGAGTAGGAATGCCTGAAATAAGACCCAAGTGGCGGGTAATATATAGCTAAATCAACATAAAAACGACTGACCTTCGTAAGCAAAGGGCATATGTAAATTCATTAACGTCACGGTGAACATGTGAGAACATGGAAAGGATGTCGTGCCACAGAGTCGCGAACAGAGAGAGTGCCTGAAATGAGGTGCTATAGATGAGGAAAGCGTCGGCGAATAAGCGGGATATGACATAAATAATACCATGATCATGCTCTTCTAGCTGGGGAGAAATGAGCTAATCAGGGAGTTCCTCATAGTTTACATGGTGGTCGATTGTTTGGCGTGGTCATTGGCTAGTTTTGATAGTGTCTCTGAGCTCTGTTCGGGACTTTTACTACCCGAACCGAGTCGCTTTAACATCGCCAACTTTACAGCCACACAGTTGAATCTTGAAGCTTGAAGTTTTGATCTGAAGCGATCTTCATAGTTGTTTCGAGAGGCCGAACCTGTGATGGTCGTAATCCAGGGTGATCCTGTCAAGTTATGAACTCAAAAGCTATTAACTTTCATCCGTCTTTTACACAATGTTGCATTCATAGATGGGATGTCGGAACCGACTCGATATCGCTCCGAAAGACCCTCTGAACCGCGCAAAGACTTTGTAGTGAAACAACAAACTCGAAAAAATTTCGGGTACGGGGAATCGAACCCCGAGCTGCCGCGCACGTACGAATGAGAGGCGGCAATGTTAGCCGTTACACCATACCCGATCTTAAAGGGATACTTCTGTTGTGGAAATTCACAGGCAAAGGTGGGTTTCGAACTGACGTGGATACATCCTCGCAGATCACGTGTCACCCGAAAATTTGACTGAACGTTCCTTTCATCTCAGCTCGGTGCCATCGATTTTTTCCCATCTGCTAATAATCACACAACCAATGTGGTTCATGTGAGAATATTTGATCCAAACCTCTTTTGACCCGGGGGTCAGACCCAACAATAATCCATTTTTGGTTTTCGCGCCGCACGGAACCCGGTTCAAAATTACTTTCCCCAGTGATCAGCATCCCAGCATAGTAGCTGTATTGATGATGAGTGATTGGTATTAGTTTGTCCTCAGCGGGCGAATTCGGATGCTTGTCGTGCTGATACATATCACCAGAGGAACGCTACAGACTGGTGGACATACAAGTAAATTATTTTACGAATATTATTATAAATGAGTTGGAACCGTACTGAGGACGTACCGGGGGAGAGGGGAAGCCGACATTCACTCAGGAAACGAAAAAGCAATTCATTTTTAAATTCTTGAATTCCAGAAACTTTCCAATGTGGGAAGGTTCAAGGACGTGGGCGGGGAGACGAGGCAAACCCAGGCACAAAAAGCATCATGAAGAATGAAGTCACCCCCGGGGCCTTTTTACTTGTCGTGGAGCGAGCGCGCCTTTGATTGTCGAAACGGATAATATGAGCCAAAGGCTTTTGATTGCCACGTCGATCACAATTGATTATGGAGCCATGTGCGCCTAGAATGCTCCTTGGAACATTGGGAAAATCCTTTATTTTCAGTCTCGGTATCTGGCCCTTAGTGTGTCCTGTAAAAATGAAAACTTTGGCACACAACGCTAACCTGATCAAAGCTTCGGATCGAATCAAAACATCTTTCTCGCCGTCTACCTGTGGGACACTTTTCATACCGTAGGATGTAAGATGAAATTATGATAAATGAAATTTGCTTAACGTTCTCCTTGTAGGAATGAATGTCACTGAGATTCTATTGCTAAATGTGTGGCCTATCTACTCTTTTTTTAAAAGATCACCCACTAATCAAGGGTTCAATCATTTTGATTGTTCAAGACTGGGCATTGTAAGATAGATGTCTCATTACCGAGTACAGCCGGTTGTGACATACTCTTTTTACGGCTCCCCCTCACATCTAAAAACCTCATCCCGACGCCCACTGCTGCTTATTCGTTTGCCAGATATTGTGGAAAATGGAGCTCCTATCCCTCAACCGGGATACTATGTTGTTCATACCGCAAAACATTCTACTGGAGTTTTTCTCGCTCTTGCACTGCCCCAGATATGTGAGTGCTTCGACATATGAAGTACTGAATTTAAATAACATTATCCAACCATCTTTCTGATGATGTTGGCGAAGTGTTAAGAGCACCGTAAGTCCAAAAACGAAATACCAGTGATTTATCATTTAGACTAAAGTCGGGTAGATCGCTTGAAGGCCTATGGTCCAGGGCTATCCTTGATCAAGTCTCTCTGGTGGATGACGCGCTTGGTCTCAGGCACCGAGCCCAAACTGACGAGATGATAATAGGATCACCTACTAAGTTGTGATGATCAGTAGGAAGCAATATCTCTTTTACTAGGCTTTTTGATTAACTAATGGGTATTTAATGCAGACCTTTCGCTCGTTAATATTGGGGTGGCACTCTTGAAACTTGTAGTCTATTCTCCTTTCTTAAGAGATCTCGCTCGCGCATTGTTAGGGTATACCATATACAAGTATTATATTGGCACATATGCTTTCCTTCTGTTATGGGTGCGATTTTTATTTTCGTTACCATACCCTTACTCACGTATCTCAAGTCTACATCGAAAGTTTCATTCTATCACCTCCGCCCTCACCTTGTTATACATTTGATACCAAGTGGTGCGCCGTAAAACGATCGAACTAGGTCCAAGCTCAATTGCAGAAATTTTCGAGGAAATAGGAGGAAAAAAAGGCCTAGCTGACCGCATCTCAAAACACTTATACAAATCAGTCAGCAATATCAAACTAGGTACGAAACGGTTTGGCAGAGCTTTTAGAGCTCCAAACATTAATTATGTATGATTGAAGTACGCCATCTCGGCCAACTCACCCCTCAATCAGATTAGAAGTATCCCAAAATTTAAGCCCCGTTATATGAAGGGGAAAAGATAGTGGATCTGGGGATCTGGTCTTCCGGGAACACTTCCTGGAATATATTCGGCATGAACAACACCGCTATAACTGAATGATTCCTCTCCGGGAAAGCTGTCCTCCCTCTAGAAGTCACTGTTATGATTGAAGTTACTTGCGGTCTCACATTATCACGTATTCCGTATACGGGATGAGTATGGCATGAAGCTGTGTCTGTATGTATTCTTCCTAGTCGCGCTCAGATCGTCGGGGCGCACAAGACAGTAAATCATAGGAAGAGGATTGCAGAAAGTCATCTCCACGCTAATTTGTCACAAGGTGTCCATGTTGGGGCCCATGTATCAACATCAATGGATCGTAGCCTAGCAGTAGATGTGGGCCGAGATATCATGATCTTCTCTAAGGCCAGTCTCGACTCTCCATCAGATAAAACGAGTGATTCCAATATCGGCCGTATCATCTTCTCCAAGGGATCTGGAAATCACAACTTCATCATGACTGACAAATCAAGACGTTTATATGTGGAAGTGAGAAATGATAGACCATGGAATGATGGCGAAATGCATCCAAAATATAGTGATATATAAGAATCACCAATTTTGGGGCTTCTTGACGAGATTTTGCGATTATATTATCAATAGTGAAGCTAACTGCCTAACACTATACATATTTCTACTAATATGTTGGTAATTGAACGAATGAGGGCAAAGGAAGGTAAGTTATGACCGGCAATGATAATACTCGGCACGTATTGTATATTATATTATTCTCGATGGTTACCCATTCCGAGTCCTTGTATAAGAAATATCGTAATCATGCTTATTTTGACGGAAACGGCGATTACGGCAAATCGAACAGGCTTGCCGCCGACGGTACGGGCGTCCATGTGTCAATGGTGTGCATTTCGCTGATTTCACGAATATGCAGTAGCATACGAACGCATAGGACAGATTGAATGACCCTTTGAATACTAAAAATGAAATCAGAGATATGGAGTGAGGGTGTTAGACCTTGACGTACGATAGTATGAGCGTCAGATATTCGACCCCCTACTAATGGTTAGACAAAAGGATTTGAAGGTAGCGGAATGGGATTGACGCACAAGCCCTATGATAACCGCGGTGATGTTCACAGCGGATAATACTAGTTATCGTCAATCAGCCCGAGGAAATTAAGAATAAAAAGTTAGAACTTACCCTGCAGGAGTACATAGTATACAACTCCTGTTATTGAAAAAATAAATACTACATTCCTAATAAAATACTGGGTTGATCTTACCTTGCAAATAAAATATGCGGATAAATGACGATGTTCCTACAGCTAGAATGAATGTTGAATAATGGCCGGGTCCCAGGCTTGTTGCTTGTGACGTACAGTTGCGTATGCATTTCAAAAGTGTCATGAAGAAGATTACTGTTTTTTTTTGAAATCCGAAAAGAGCTTGAGATTTGAGGTGAAAGAAATAGGCTGTTCTATAACTTACACGTCTGGTGAAATATCATGGCCCCTAGGGACCCTGCAAGTAATCTCGGTATGCCGGTTTGGAAGCAACCAGTTACAACTTTGGAGGAGTTGTCGATCCCTGGGGAATTCTTTGGTACTACAGAATTGTGAGTTCAAAATGAGCTTACCATTATAATTTTTCAAGGACATGACAAAGAAAAAAGTCGCTAGAACACCACATAAACCGAATGATGCGAACAGAAAGCCTCCAACTTTATTGTCCTTGCCCCACATAGCCCATACTCGTAGTGTCATAGTGCCTGCAAGGAGAGGTCGAGTCACAGGCTTCTCACTATAACAGTAATTACACACCTTCAACGACTATCATTCCAAAAATAAGCAACGCTATTCAAAACATTCTTTCAGTAATAGTTCGCTAAGCAAGCTGGCGAGTTACCCCCGATGGCTTCGAAAAGATGGAAGCACGTATGAAATGATGGTGTTGGGCTCAGATATTCTGGGGGCGTGGTGGTTGATTCGAGAAGACAACATCGGTATCGACGGCTTACGATACAAAAATAGACCAGCATCAACAAAAGCGCCATACCGAATCAGAAAAAAGAGACAGTTTCCTATGGTCCAAGGACCACCCCATGTATACTTAACTTCCTTATCCAAGAGTAGAAACCAATCCAAGGTCTAGTAGAACACGGGGCGGTCAGTTGGGACAATTTACTTCCGACGTAAAGGAACTGACAAGTAGGGCGGCGTTAGCAACTGAATTTGACCGTAGTTCAGACAAGAAAAGAAATAAGCTTGGTAATAACACGGACCATGCACATACTGGATTCCACACACATTAGTCAGTAGAGTTTTTAAATTTGGGAAAATAGTGTGATTACACTCACAGAAGAGACTTGCATTTGCTGTATGGCATGAATCGGTAGGTTGGTGTCGTTGAAAGTCATGTCGCGAGAATAAATATCGGGGAATCCGTAACAAGTTAGTAGTTTCTCCGTCTTTTATCTTTTTTGTCGAAGTATTTTACACAGCGCCGATAATGATTGACGGTCAGATACAGGAAGGCGTTTCATATTTGTGTGCCTTTCATAGGGGTGATACAATGATAACCATGTGAACATAACTTTTGTTAGGAGTGGAAAAATCAATTTCGTTGGCGTTTAACAAGGAAAACTAAACTTGGGTTGAGTGAAGGCAGTGAAGCAGTTCTTTGATTGTAGGCTCGTGAATATTTGATAGTGGTATCATCAATGATTCTAATAAAAGCTTTTACAAGGACAGCTTACTTACATTTTTACGTATATAAGTATACCCCGGCGAGTCAGTGCGAGGCGAAAAGGGAGTTGGACAACACTGAGCATGCCGCTCTGGGTTGTAATTCAGTTG